CCGCGTCCAGTGGGCAGGAGCCATAAATGTGTGTGCCCATTTGGATTTTTAACCAAAAAAAAGTGAAACGAAAAGGAAATACAGAATGCACTTCCTAGCACATTCTTATAGTAGTTCACCTTTCAAAACTATTTTTCAATGAACAAAAAAGAAACATCTCATGCTATTTGCAAGTATCCCCGTTCGGAATGCGTGCAATAAGATGCGCGTCTTGTTATTTAAAATTCAACCAATCACACATGTCGCCGCTGTGCTCCCAACGCGACGCGCACGCGCGTGACTTCTGCGCACACGTATTTTTCGGAGTCGACGAGTACCAAAGGCTTGTTTTCTGTTCTTACACTAGTGAACTAGTGCAATAAATTAGAGCAAGACAGGCATATATTTTCTCATTCTACCTTACTGCACTAGTTCACCAGTGCAGGAACAGAAAACAAACCTCAAGTTAGCGGTCTAGTTCTCATATAGATGTCTGTATTGCTAACTTTATTAGGCGGCAAACGTATGTATGCATGTATCTCCCCGCCGCGTTACAGAGCTAAGAGAGAGAGAGAGAGAGAGAGAGAGAGATAGATAGAGAGACTACGAGTCGCTGACCAATTAATCGAAACCTCCGAACAACCGGCCCTCGCACTCACACGCGCGCCCGATATACACACGTACGCGCGCCCTCGTACGATCGCGGGGCCTCTTCTTTGTATTGACCCACCCACACGCCGTCGAGCCTGCGGGAGAGCGTTCGTCTCAGATTGCTCTCAACCTTCGCGGCCCCGCGGTCGCCGCGCGCGCACGCGAGATCGGATCCGGGCGAGCCGCGAGACAAAGAGGCCGGAGCGGAGCCGAGGGCGGAATTAAAGAGTGCCGCGAGTCGCCGGCGGATCGATGATGGTGCGGCGCGCATCGCGCCTCCGTGCAACGCGAGGCCGTCGCGAGCGCGCAGCGCCCTGAAAAGAAACGAGGGGTGGCCGAGAAGGCGGAAGGCGCCCCGCGCCAGCGTTCGGCGGAGGAGCCTGCGTCCCGTTCGCGTTCCCACTGGGCGTCACTGTCGGGGCCACTGCCAGAGCGGCATTCTGGGGGGGGCCCCCGCGTCGGAGGTTGAGAACCCCGCTCCGGGTATTTGTATATTTAATTCCTTGGTCTCTCTTCCCGCGGCGCGTCCCGCGCGGATACCCGCCGCCCGAGTCCGCGGGGGAAATGTCCCTCCTCTCGCGACGCGCGACGTCGTCACGTTGCGGCCGCCGCGAGTCCCGTTTCGCACACGGCTGCGCCCGCCGCCGAGGCCCGGGGCAGCCTCTCGTCGTCGCGTCGTCCGCGAGACACGCTCGGTCGCGACACCTCGCCGAGCGCCCGCGATGCCGCGCGACGTTAACGCGGTAACATATTGACGGCGGTACCGTCCGTCCTCCGCGCTGCTGTTACTAGACGGCGAAACCTCCGTCTCTCGCCGCTCGGACACGTGCGGGATCTTTGGGATCTTAATGTTTGTAGCTACGATCGTTGTTGATACAATTATAATTAAAGTTACGCGAAGGGGAGAGAGAGAGAGAGAGAGAACGGTTGCCCTTCGTCCTCCTCATCGCACTCTTCTTCTTGGCTTGCAGATAATCTAATCGCAGGTGAACATTTTGTCGTCGGCACGATGACTTCGGGTTACTTCACTCTGCCGATTAATATGGACAGGGTGTGCAGGATCTGTCTCACCGAGGGCACCAATTTGTCGTCGATCTTCTCCGCCACTCAGGAAGTGAACGATCTCACGGTCCTCTCGCAGAAGATACAAGTTTGCGGCTCCATCGAGATACACGAGCAGGACGGGCTGCCCTCCCTGATATGCGACGTCTGCATTTACAAGGCCAGCGTCGCCCACGAGTTCAGGCAGCAGTGCCAACACTCGGACGCGAGGCTGCGCATGTACTACAACAAGCCCGCTAAATGTGTCAAGTCCGACGCGGTAAGGACCGTCGTCCTTTCGCCGACCCACGCTCGCCCGTTTGTCTAACAAACCCACCCCTCCCCCCCCGTACGATATTGTACGCTGTATGTGACGTAATTTTGCAGGATCTCCAGGATTCGTACACGCAGACGGACCTGCAAACGAAATTTGTCTTCTCGAAAAAGTCGGACCACTTCCAGGAGGATTACACCTTCGCGAAGGAGGACATGCAGGTGGTTGCGAGCGCGCAAGAGTACATTGAAGCCGCCGACTCGTTCCCCAGGAGCGAAGTCGGCCTGAACGCCAGTCAGATTCAAATGTCGGACGAAAAGCTGTTCATCTGCTCCATCGGATTCGAAGGTGGTAAAGAGGAGGGGAAGGATTCCTGCATGTCGGAGAACGAGGTCCACCAGATGACGATAACGCAGGGAGACGTGCAAGATGCGTCTAACATGATCGGCTTGCAAAGCAAGGAGGACGGCGTCAAGGAGGCCGATCACTACGCGGAGAAGAACAGTGCGGATCAGGAGGAGCAGCAGCAGCAGCAGTTCGTCAGCGAGAGCCTACCTAACGATAACGTGGAAGAGGAGGAGAGCGTGCCGCAGAAACGTACGTCCGCGAGGAAGACTAAATCGGCAGCCGCGAAAACGTACAGCGACGACGAGATCGCCGACAATTATTACGAGCCGAGCAGCGACAGTCAGGATTCCACGGTGTCGAAGTTTAAATGTAAAGTCTGCTCCAAGCAATACGCCACGCAGAAGGGTCTGAAGAAGCACTCGTTGGTACACGAGAAGAAGTACAAGTGCGACGTCTGCATGAAAATGTTTTACAAACAGGAGAACATGGAGAACCATCAGAAGATTCACGCGTCGAAGCCGCACGCGTGCCAGCTCTGCCACGCGTCCTTCTCCAAGTCTCAAAGTCTCGTGAGACACTTGAAGTCGCACACGGAGAAGGTGAACGATATGATCAAGCAGATCAACACGAGCGAGCGCAAGGACGGCAAGGAGCCGAAGAAGGAGCTCAAGAGCGAGGACGACACCGACGACGAGACCGGGCCCGCCAACGAAGCGGACGAATTCGAGAACGCGCCCGAGTTGTACAAATGCGAGATTTGCAACCAATATTGCTCGTCCTTGAAGAACCTGAGGAGACACGCCCTCGTGCACGGCGACAAGAAGTACTCCTGCACCGTGTGTAAGAAGTGGTTTTTCAGGCCGGACACGTTGAAGAAACACGCGGAGAAGCACGGGCACGGGCTGCTGGACAATCTGATGGACGACAACAAGCTGTACGATTCGGACGACGACGACATGCCGGGCAACACGATGGATCCCCCGCCGGAGAGCGAGAACGTCAAGAAGGAGGAGAGCGACGAGGAGGGATCCGGGGAGTACAAGTGCCAGCACTGCGACAAGGTCATGGCCACCAAGAAGGGCCTGCGACGGCACGTGTCGATGCACAAGCCGAAGGCCGAGCCAGTCACCTGCGAGATCTGCAGGAAGGTCTGCGCCAGCCAGGCGCGTCTCGTTCTCCATCAGAGGACGCACAAGCCGAAGGAGAAGGTGCCGCGCGAATACCTGTGCCACATCTGCAGCAAGGTGTACCCCAGCAACTCGTCCCTCACCTATCACATGCGGACCCACACCGGCGTCAAGCCGCACGTGTGCAAGACCTGCAACAGCGGCTTCACGACCACGACGAGCCTGGCGAACCACATTCGCATTCATACGGGCGACAAGCCGTTCGTCTGTCACGTGTGTAGCGCCGCGTTCGCCGTGAGCTCGGCCTTCCGCAGGCACCTGACCCGGCACACCGGCGAGGCCAACTACCTGTGCAAGACCTGCGGCAAGGCCTTCAAGAGGCTCAGCACGCTCAAGGAGCACACGTACACCCATTCCGGCGAGAAGCCGTACGTGTGCAAGACGTGCGGCGCCGCGTACAGCCACAGCGGCAGCCTGTTCGCGCACCAGAAACGCTGCCGCGCCCAGTACGGCGAGATGATCGTCGACGACCACAATCATCATCACATACCGCACACGGTCACTCACATCCACGTGAATATGAACAACGTCAACAACGGGGCGGGGGTGCGACCGGTCGCTGTGGTGGGCCAGATGTTCTAAGAACGACGAAGCCGCTGTCCGCGAGTGTCCGCGACGTAGCTGTAGATCCTGTGCGCGAAATGCGCGCAACACGAGCTACGCGGCAACCTTTGTAAATATACGCAGCTGTTTTTTGTTTTTCATAATGGAAAACGTTCCTTGGACATAGACACGGCGCTCGAGACGCTTTGCTTTTCAAAGACACGTAAATGAGTATCCGTGATGTAACAGAATTAAGTGTACTCGTATTTACACGAGAAAACAGTTTTTAAAATGATATAATTACTATTATTAAAATTGTGAGCTATTTTTTTATTATTTGATATCGTAGGTATGAATATTTGTGGACAGAATCCACAAATCTGACATGTGTACATATATACATGTATATATACATATATTTTTATATGTTTCATATAATCCAGATCTTGTTGTACCACATATTACATGATAATTGTTTATTGTGTTATTTTAGGAGGGAAATGATTGACTATCTTCATATACCCAGTTAGCAAAATGTTAGCAGATTGGCGTCAGATTGGCAGTAGATTCATCAGAAACCCACACCAAAACCATAGCCATCTGTGTCTGCATTTGGCGTTTGGATAGCCAAGTCCCGTTTCTTTCCCTCATCAGTCCAGAGTCATTATCTGATTGTTCATCAGAGTGATTGAAGAATGAAATTAGTAAATTAACAGAGAATTAAAAAGACAGATAACTCGCGAAGTTAATGAAAGCGAACTGCGACTGTATTTGAAAATACACTAGAAGCGCATATCCTCTAGCTTTTCTCAGACTTAAAAATTCCGACAAATGATTACAAAACATGTCAGAAGGGCAATGCGTTTATTATTGTTTGATTTTTAGAGTACACACCTGAAAACTTTTTGGTAGCTAATGTACGAGTATGGTAGCGCTAGAAATGTAATATCAGGTATACAATTTCTGGGCTGTGACTGTACATGATAACCGAATGAAAGAAGTCTATACGATTTACTCATTTAATAAACTTAATTGACATATATTCCATCACCAAAATACGTCATGATTAAATGAATGATAATCATATTCATGCTATGAAAACATTTATAAGAATCACTTACAATTAGATTATATGATGAGTCAGCGTTATTACGCGAAGAAACGTGCGATATTTTTTAATTGTTAAACATGAAAATCGTAACGTTACATAGTATATATTAGGTATATGATATGGATATATTCTTGCAGTTGAGAAGTATTGTATTTCAAAGTAATAATCGGAATGATTTATTTAATATTATTCGTTGATTAGTAAAAACACTCTTATTGGCAAATCAAATTTCAAGCGTTAGAATGTAGATTAATTTTTATCATTTTTAACATGAAACGGCGAAAACTACGATATTGTAAATTGAACAAAAGTAAGTGAGGAATGTACAAATATACATATAAATAATATTAGTTACATTATATACACACATCTATATATATAATAACAGACTATAGGCGAGACTGATCATCATTCATTTAAATATTTAATGATAAAAAGTTTGTAAATCTTATTCTCCTGAATGCTGAATGAAGTAAAGTTTGTATTTTAAAATCTTAGCTAATGTCATTTTATTATTTTTTTTGTACTGCTAATTAAAGTACCTATTAGCCTTTCAGCCCGTAATTCAGTCCGTTGTTGCAACATAGATCTCTCCATCTTATCGGTATAATTAAACGGTTTTTTTTATTAATTAAAGTATATACATTTACCGAGTTTTTTTATTTCCCATAGCTCCTACTTAATTTAAAATACACACATCAGAGATTTATTTACATTATAAAAATTTGTATTAATAAAAATTCTGTATAATTATGCATTCTTTTCATTATAAACAGAACAGCATTCAAAGAAGATAAAAATGAAATTAATTAGTCACAAATAAAAGGTCTAATCAAATGGTAAGTACTTGATACAAGTTACAATTGAGCAACGTATACACTGTAGATTCGAAAATATGAAGTTTTTATTCTTCTATATGTATTATTTAATGACGAAACGATTTTTAATATAATTTGTATAATGCAACCGACATTCCAAATTTACTGAATGTTATTTCTTTTTACATTTCGTTTTTTTTAGAAAATTTATAATTTTGTGTAAATCTCATTATATAAGATACTTGTTTAATAAACTATATAGATTTTTTATGAATAAAATTTCATAAAGAAAAATAATATTTTCAATCTTATTTTTTACGTTTATATAAAGTCATGTCATTTGGTTTTTACTTTAGCAAACATTAATAGAACTATACTTGTGTAATGTCATGTGATTTAAATAATGTCAAATGGAATATAATCGGAAATTTTTGAAAGAATTTGTAACTCTATGGGATAAAGATGTGAAGCGTGTGTAACAATACTAGAAAAGATAATAGAACTTTTATTAAATTTATGCATATATTGTTGTACACAATGTATCCTCGTGCAGCAAGATTAGATATTACTCGGCAATCTTTTTTCCTTCTTTTGGAAAAATTTTCGTTTGCAAAAAAAATGGTAAGATATGTTATCATGTTGCACGAGCAAGTTCTTCGCTTTACAATCAAGAATTGTTTATAACTTCGACAATATTAATCTTTTTCTTCTATGGAGTTTTTGTTTCTCTTTTTTTTTAATATCTTATAACGGCGCCAAATGGAATTTCTTGTTCTTCGAAGAACTTTAGCCAACGCAGAATATTTACATCTTTGATCGAGGGATGGGTTGTGTTCCAGGTGATCTATTATCATTAGATCTTCCTCGGGTCTATACCTAATAATTTTAATTTAAGTGTTAATATTTTATTACTATTAATACAAATTAATTTATTTAACAGTAAAGTTATGTCTTAATTATACAGGGTATTTTAAAAAAAGGGTATAGGACTTTAAGATAGTACTCACTGAAGGAAATGGAGGAAAAAAGTCCTAGTACACATGGATCGAAAAATTAATATTGTGAAATTATTAACGATTCTTGATTTTAGTTAAAGCGAAGGCCTTGCTCGCTTTTGGTATTCTCGCGCAACATGAAAACGCATTATCTTGCCATTTCTTCGTTCAAAGCAAAAATTTTTTTTCCAAAAGACTAAAAATTCTCCAAGGTTTATAGGTTTTCTATGTACTCCAATTTATACAAGTAATAATCGGTGTACTCTTCACCGATAAATGAAATTGGCGAATTACATCAGAACATACAAAATAATGTCAAATAGAATATAATCGGAAATTTTTGAAAGAATTTATAATTCTATGGGACAAAGATGTGAAGCGTGTGTAAAAATAGAAGGATGAAGAAACCTTCCTGTAAACTGTAAAGGAGTGTAAATTCTTTTGAATTAAGAAATGGTAAGATATCATGTCATCATTCTCATCTCGCGCAGGAGCATCGGAAACGAGCAAGTCACTTGCTTTAAACAAAACGAAGAACTGTGACTTTAATATTAATTTTTCACTTTATATTTATCAGGACTTTTTTCTCCATTTTATGAATACTCTATCTGCCCTTAAAATCCTGAACTCTTTAACACCCTGTATATATAAAATGTACACATACAAATGTAAAATACATACATATAAGATGATAAAATATCATGTATATGAATATATTTTATTTATACATATATTCTTACCTTCTTTGCAAATTATTCTCGTATAAATTTTTAAATCGATGGTAGACACTGTACAAAGTTCTATCTGGTAAACCATCGGCTAAAAATTGTACAAATTTCCGCCTTTCCTTGGTATTACGCATATACGTCTCATTGCCAATTCTTAATCGTAAAAACGGTTTAACTTTCGTTTTGTCCCAGTTATGTAGCTGTTTCAAAATTAATATTCTAAATAATTTCTGCATAAATAAATTAATAAATACGCACACGCACGTACACAGTGAACAATTTTTTAAATTAATAAAAAAAATGTTTCTAAACATTAAATAACAAGCTAATAGTGATTATGTCTTGCATACTAACTTTGCAAAATACTTTCCAATTATGTACGATAATCTCGTCTTCGTCAGAAGAATATGGGCCTTTCCTCAATGGTGTTATACTTTCAAATTCTTCGATTTCCTTCCGCATTGGCATATGAGACCCGGCTCGTGTTTCAATCTCATGCTGCGGTAGTACCATATGTCTCAGTTGCACACGTATATTATACAATTGCTGGAATAGAAAGTAGCTATACATATGTTTCATTCGCGAAGTTCGTGGCAAATACAATTTCTGTCATTCTTACCACAGCGTCTGCATCACATAGTTGCTCTTTTGATTTAATTTGCTCCGCTAAGTATGTCGCGTCACTGCAATTCTTGTATTTAAGTTTGAAAGCATTTTCATTCTCCGACTGTTCTGTCGAATCACTACTTTCATCCTGTATATATAATGTTCTTTTCCTACTCTTAATATTTTTATTCTTTGACTGTTCTGTCGAATCATTATCTTCATCCTGTAATGTTCTTTTCCTACTCTTAATCTTTTTGTCCTTAACTTTGGAAAAATTTTCATTTTCTGACTGTCCTGTCGAATCA